ACCACCAGGATTCTATCCTGATGGGTCCCACCAAAACAAACCTTCTTTAATCTCCTGGTGTCAGGACTTGTTTGTGTGATTTTTTGGTCAAGTACAAGACACCAGTACTGGTAGAAATCCATCAAAGAGAATAAGATCCTAAGTTGCTAGTACTCCTGTAGTACTACTGCTGAAAGGAGTCCAACCATTATGCCTTTGAAGATTGGTTGACAGAAGAAGCTTAAGCTACTCATGCTGATACTAATACTAGTACCAACAATAGTACCAACACTAATACCAACACTAAAAAATATGGATATTTCTTAAATTATAACATGATGAACCATTATGATCCACTAAATTGATTTTAATATCATTATCTAGCTTGGCTGCAAAGAAAATTTTGACCCATTCTGAGTCCAGGCACGGTGGCATAATGTGTTAAAAAAATATGAGGCAAAATCTACACAGATGTGTTGACAAGGATCCCACGTGAGTAATTATCAATTTTAAAATAGGATAGTTCAAGTGGTGTYCATATGGTTGAATGCATTGATCTCCTATTATGATTCAACGACGAAATGAATCATCCAGCATGTTTTCTTGAACAGAAAAGTTCTGGAGAGGTGCAAATTCAATTTCGGCACAATCTAAAAATTCTGCAGTTCCYGTAGAGCTATTATCCAAAATCGAAGATSGGGTCGAATTGATTGTATTGTGCTGGGAACAGTCTGCACAATCTGTAGTATTTGTAGAGCTTTGTTCCTGATCGGTGTTTTGAGAATCGACACTTYGTTCTCTAATCACTTGCGACGAAGGCGCAGTCTCTATGAGGCCGCCATTCCAATATTGGTAGCCGTCGTRTTCGGAACAGTCTATAACATCAATCATTTCGCTACGAATGGAGTCAGCACCTTCAAATTGACCTTTTAATTCAATGTCTGCCCGTGAAGTATCTCTGGGAGCAGTGACTGATTCYGCAACAAACGSACCATCGATGTCGTCTATTCTCGCCGTTTGGATTTCTTCTTCGCGAACAAAATTCTTGTCACCATCCCTTCGGGATGCTGGCCTATGCGTGTTTTGTTCGTCTTCAAAACACTCGTCACCATCGCTTATGGACAAAGACAAATTTGCGTCCTCTTCACCACCTTGATCTGAACGAATTTTACACAATAGTAGCATGTTTGTTGATACRATGTCGACACTGAAGAACAGTACSCCCCAGCAGGCGAAAAATGCAGGGCCAATTTGGCTACCTACCCCATCCTTCCTGAACACAATGAAGTAAGATGYAACGCACCAGCATACCAAAACTATTGTMCCAATAATAAAATGAATGAAAGGCATAAATCGTCCACATGGTGGGAGAAAAGACACAAATACCATGACCAATGATAACAATGTGCTTCCCAAAGCGGCCATTATCAACACTTCTAATTGGCCACACTTGCCAAAATCTCTGAAACATTCCTTGAACTCTTCTTCATCAAGGATGTAAAGCACGCCAAATACAGTACCGGATGTGGCGAATGAAAAGATCCAGTCGGTTGTTGTCACAGAGGCATTTGACCAGTTTGTCAATAAATACAGCGAGGTGAAAAATGAACCGTAACTCATGAATAGCTGATTGGCTGTCATGGTTTCCATCGCTATCACTTTATTGGTATCCACTCCTGCATCCGAATCATCTCTGAAATAGTAGGTAACTGCGATGAGACCACGGATCCATGTTGTAATGCATGATATTATCTAAGTCCCCACACGTRTCAGCGTGGAAAATTGAGAAGAATACTGTGTGAGTTTTTGTAAAGRTGCGAACGCAAATAAATCGGCAAAAGTCAAAAAGATATGCGTTCGCACACTTGGAAGAATTTTTAGGAACCTGAGTTGGTAATCTTGTGCTGTTTACTCGAAATTGGACCTACCAGAATACCTTCCAAAATTTTTGCCCATTTCTTCTGTACTGTACTTGCAATCCACCCGATAAAGCAAAAAGCGATGGAAAGGATGGGGGCAAAAACGATCCATTGATCCCTTATGGGGTCGTGCCCGTCCAATAGACCATAAAAGACGGCGAGGGACACAATGGATTCAACCATTAGTATAAACCAAATTTCGATTCGACCTAAATTTCGTTTACCAACAATTACATTCTTGTTAAAACTCGTGTCTCTTCCAACAAGCAAAGAGTTTGAGTGAGCATCACCAYTATCTGAGCCAAGAAGGGATGAGGAACCATCAAGAGTGTCGAACAATATTGCTAGCGACGCATCGGTATTGCGTGGATCATCGTCATGGTCCAAAACTGGTTGCGAGTGCGACTTTGTCATGTTGTCGTAAGCCATGTTAAGAAAACCTGCCATACCTATTTCATCCTTGGCCCGTTCTGATTCAGTCATGCCGAATTCTACTTGTGAAAAAGGAGATGCTTCCAGCACCGAGTCTGCGTAAAGTGTTGTAACAAGAATATTCAACGCAATTGAAAAGGAAATATAAATCCCAAAATACATTGTGTTGATGGATACTGCAGGCCCTGCACCAAATGTCAACGTGGCAATTGCAGCAGCCCATGTAATGACAAGTATCAATGCAAACTCTGCCTGGCATTTCAAAGGCGCACTTCGCCACGGTATAAGGAGGCATGAAGTTACACCGGAAAGSAGCCCGGCGAGAATGCTGAAAATTGTGAGTGGGCAGCTGTAATACCTGCCTCTTGTACATGACGAGTTCTCCAATAGGGAAAATCCTGTCAACATTACAAGAAACCCAGATGCTGCCAGAAACGTCCACTGAGTTGTAGTCAACGCATTTTCGTCGCGAAAGAAATATTCTTTTAACCAGGAAGAAAGCAAATAGATAGTGATAGCGAGACTTCCAAACGAGAAGAAATAAATGTTTGGTGATCTGATATTGTAGTCATTCCCTTCGTCAGACGACTGAACCACAAGCTCTCCTACTGGTATCAGCTTTGAAGTGGAACTGACAAGTGTTGCGATAGCAACCACCACCCAATAAATAAGATTCAGAAATATTAAGACTGTCTCGGTCCATGCTTTCATCGTTCCGCCAGAACAWGTTGAYGTGATCATTCCACTAAGTGCAAGTAAGATCGAAATAGTATAAACCGAAAGAAGGACAACCCGGTCTGTAGGGATTTTCCCAAAATCTTCGAAAGAGATAATGGCCGCTGCAGCCCAAACAAGCACCGACGTAAATAAGAGCATTGCCCACCATTTGAAACGATTCATGATTGCTCAATACCCGATCAGCATTCAAGTGGGCACTGGCCAGGCACCAAAGAAGGTATGTGTTTACCCGTTCTTAGATCCGTTATCGTTTAAGGTGTAGAGAATGCAGTATTCCTCTCATAGTGATTGCGACTGTATCACACCGATCTTCCTTATCTCAAGTTTCGAKACCTTCCTGGATTTGACTCTCTTTTCGCAAAGGATCTCGTTACGAACTGAATGCTAAGTGCAATGGATYGTCGTTGTGTCCTTCGATGAGGGATGCAGACTTCGATGAATGTTTKGAAGCGTCGTTAAAGATTGTCCTCTTCGTCRGAAAAGCAGTGATCGCAAACACACACCCTTATGGCTSGTTTAACTGTGAATATAAGGGACGAAAGAATGCAATCAGGTGTGTAAGGCTTGTTTGTGCCTGTTAATGATAGTTTCAGCTGTTCGCTTTGTATGGCTGGTCTCAATCCTGTATGGGTTMTCATTGTTGTATCGTACGGTAGTTGATTTTCATTCGTTTTCGCTCACAAAACGCTTCTGAGCATCTCCTACCAGTTACTGTTTCTGATATTACCTGGGAGAATTTAGCCTAGCACTACTAGTAGTACCTATGTACCAAGTCCATATCCTAGTGTGCCTGGTCTAGTCATGGGCAGGCCTTACATGGGTACCCACATGCGTCCCATGTGATCTGTCCTGTGTCTTGCCCTGTACATTATGACAACYGTGGAGGAGCATGTGAAGCGCATGTACCAAAAATGTAACCAGAACTGTACTACCTGTCGTGGAAGTCCGTAGTAGTACTATTGTTATCATAGTAAGAGAATTTTGTACTGTGCATTCCAGAGCTTTAGCTCAAATTTACTGGTGGAGGTCCTTGTTATTATTGYGAGGGAATTTTGTACTGCACATTCTTGACCTACCGGTAGAGTGTTCTTGAGCTAGAGACTCTGGCTTGTGAGTGAGTAGTACAAAGCAACTTCCTCATGATACTAATACAGACCTCCATAGATACATTTCTGGTTACATTTCTACACCAGTAACATAACTGAAGCCAAGAGCTTTAGCTCAAGCTGAAAGTGAAATTACTGCAAGTATCTTCAACAAGCTCAAAAACTTTAGCTGCAGAGCTTGTTGAAGATAATTGCTGTGCTGAAGCAGAGCTCTTCCACAGTTATTTGTGTAAYCATTGAAGCATCTCAAAATTACCATGTATTCATACTACACCATTGACATGGAGGGAGGAGGACACTGCTGCTGATACAAAAGGAGAAGGACACTTGTCACTGCTACTTTCCAGCGTGACACTTGCTGATTTGGAGGAGCCAAAGCTGATAGGATACAAKTGGCTGATAAAGGAGCTGCTGATACAATACAAAAAGTTGCCAATACAGAGTAGCTACTGATGCAGAGGACACTGATACAATACAAGCTGCTGGTAGGAACTGTGGATACAATACATGTTGCTGATACAGAGGATGCTGCAACAAACAGGGGACGCTTGCTGATACAGGGGGAGAGGATGCTGCATTTAATAATGCTGATAGTAGGGGGGACACTCTCTGATATGAGTGCTRGTGATAAGTTCTGCCAGCCAGCCTACACAGCAACAAATATGCAACTTGACAAAATTGCAACTTTCTTTTCATTTTTTTCATTTTCTTCCTGGAAAATGCCTGTACATACGGTAGTAATAGTAAAGTACTACTAAAACTACCAAATTACCCTACTTTTTAATATTGTCTATTTCTGCAACTAAATATCAGATAAAGACCTAGYATTTGGCAGGATTCATCCTAACACACAAATGAGTGKATTGGYCATACTGGGTATTGAGGATTATTTGGAATCATTATTATTACACCTACAGTAGYGAGCCTAGTAATCTGGACAATTTGTTCTTGACAGTGGCTTCACTACTACTAGYWRSTAGTGGTGTTGAAGGATGTCCAGATGTTCATGCACCAGTGATRTAAACAAGCAATGTTGTTCTCTTTCTTGGCAACCCAACTCTGCAAAAGCTTTCATGGATACACTTCTTGAGTGTACTGYAGAGATGTATCATACTAGAGGAAGCACATCTGATGATTTCTTCTTTGATTCACTCCTACTGGTAGGTTATCCATTGGACCAGCATTGTGACAATTGGTGACAGGTCAGGCTTTGGTCTTTGGCAGATCACAACCCATGATCACCAGTGAAGTCTTGAAGAGGAGGAATGATGAGGCAATCAAGAATCTGGATGATGCAAGAAGGAATGTCTTACTACTAGTAGAATGGTGCCAAACATCAGCAAGAGTGGCAAGAGCTTCATCTGCAACACAATCCAGAGGAGCCAGAAACAACAAGTCCATGTGGCTGAACCAAGAAGAAATGAAGTACAATGGTTTATCTATCAAGTGGTGTGAATGAGTGATTGCCTCTATTGGGAAACAGTCMTTGACAACTGATAGTATGGACAGAGTCAACTCAGCAGCTCATATTTTTGCAGAGAAGATACAGGGAAGACTCCCATTCTTTGTGACTGAGAAAGTTCCAGTGGATAGAATTGACCTCCATCCTGGGAAACATTTTCAATAGGATTCACTTGCTAGGCATATCCCTAGAAATTCTGACTTGGTAATCCTCTCTGGCCATGCTGCCCAAAACCTGGAGCTCAGGCRTTGSCATGAGAGCTACCTATCCAGTGACATGAATRCTTTCCACAAAGTTGTTCCACAAGWGATGAAATGGAATGGCATGCAAGATTGTGCAGTGATGAGACCAGTCCTTTCAAGGTTGGTSAAGACTTTAGTATMTGCGTGGATGTGTGGTCTACTGCACTGAGTGTTGCSGCAGGACAATGCWGTGGCTGCTGCATTGTTGTAAGGGGTTTCAAGAACTGYCAGTCACTGCTGAGTCRAGYCTTTGTACCATTTTCAAACTTTTCCAAATAGTCAACTTATGCTGAGGACCTTGCATTCAGCTACTCTTTGTGTTGGCARCCCCTCCCTATCATTTGTCCATCCCCTGTACCAGTCATTTTGTTATTGAATAAATCAAGAMTCGTACCACAATAAAACAGTTRGTGTAGACTCTSYTGWTRRTAKT